CACATATTTTTCTTCTGGACTTAATCATAGTTTCATAGCTGCAAGAATAAAATATATACTTAAAAGTTAGCATGCATTTGAGCACTGATTTTATGAACTATGGCATAAAGGGGAGGTAAAATTATAACTTAATCTGTTTGTATAAACTGTCTCCAAGATATAGCAAAAAGTTTTATGCACCTTTTGGAGGAAACCACACAAAAGCAGCTGTAATCATGGGAGATTGGAAGAGAGGCACACTTTTGGATCACACAATCTCAGTTGTTTTAGGTGAGGGTTACTTGGACTTTGTATACATTAACAGTTATAGGTTCATTTTTCTCTGCTTCTTAAAGTGGTTGGGAAAATAAGGCCTATTAAGGAGGCAAACTAATGAACAATGTAAACTATAAAGAGTGTATCTGAGGAACTAGAAAGTAATAAATCAGAAAGGTTCAGACCCAAAGTGATTTGGGAGACATCCTTTGACGAGAGCTTTTTAAGGGTGAATGCTAAGGAATCATAAGCAATGGTTAGTCACAGTTCTTCTGTGGCCTTGTCTGATCTGTCCCACTGGGGAGAATCTAGTTGTATAATCAAGGTCTTGTTGCCTGCTTCTGATTGGGTGAGCTTAAGTTTTGTTTTCCTTTACTACAGTCATTTACAAGAAATGGGTCAAGTTAAGTTTCACCCATGTTTGCAAATCAAGAAGGGTTAAGGTCTCTGATGATGAAGTTGAACAGGCTTTGTGTGCTCAGATAGACATCAGGCCTGAGTAAACTCTGGTCTCATGTAGCCCAGACAGGATTCAGACTCGCTATGTAGCTAAGGATACTCTTGAACTTCTAATCCTCCTTACTCTACTACTGGGATTACAGGTGTGCACCATCACGCCATCTTGTGTGGTACTGGACCTCATACACACTACTCAAGAACTCTACTACATGAACTACATCCCCAGACCAGAATTTCTGAACAACTCTTTTTAGATCACCTACTTTTCTTACTTATTTTCAACCATCTTGCTGCCATCAGCACAAAACCAAGCTTGGTTCTTCTCCTTGGCTGCCAACCACTGAGTGCCACTGGCTGCCAAACACACTGCATCTAGCTGCCTTGGCCTTCTGAAGGCACATCTGCGGTACAGGATGTAGGGTCATTCTTCCACTCTGTGTGATGACATGTTACTCTAATTGTTTTTTTAATCAATAAAAACTCAGGAGTCAGATATTGGGGTAAGGGTATGAAAGATCAGAGGAGCAAAGGAGCCATCAGTCCTACCTACTTCCTCCATTCCTTCCTCCAAACAGAGAGCCCAATCCCTTCCTGTCCCGCCTTACTACTTCCTGTCCTACCTGTCCTCCATCTTCCAAAACGTCTAAGGTTAATTTAGGTCGGCTGGTGGCTAACTCCACCCTTGGACTCCAAGCAAGCATTATTTGTCAGACCACGATCAAATATCACACAACAAAGTGAAAAATGCCCATTTGTCTTCTTGTCACCATCCCTTGGAGACACAATAGATACCTTCAGCTTCTTGTTGAAACTGCTTGCCAGTTTAGAAGGTTGTAACTCTAGTCTTCTGGTTGATCAGCCCTCGTTTTTAGCTTCCTTTCAGGGCCCATGAGGGGAACACTGAGTGGGAGTGCGCTTGACTAAAATGTGAAAGCCCTAGGTCCATCCTCAGCACAACATAAAAACCAGTCACTTGGTCACACAAATGAGAAGTAGCTGGGTTTGATGGCACACAACTGTAATTGCAGTCCTAAGGAAGCTGAGGCAGGAGGATTGTGAGTCCAAGACCATCTTGGCTATTTATCAAGAGCATCTCAAAATCAAAGCCAAAAATCTAAAAATAGATTAGTCCAGCCTTCCCCAATCTGTCACTGGCTTCCCAACAAATACGAAGGGAAACCCAAAATCTTTATGAGGACTCCAGGCTCCGCATTATCTATGTTGTCTGTCTTATTTCTCTTCTTGCTGCCCCATCCTCCCCCAGCATCCCTGGTTGCTGCCCTGTTCCCATAAAACCCCATGCCTGCTCACCTTTGGGCCATAGTGAATGCTATTTCCTTGTCCAGGATAGCACTTTTGCCCACATTCCATGGGGCTTTCTTCCTTACTGGCTCAGATGTCTTTGCAGGGACGCCTCCACTGGTCACCTGACTCGGGTTGTAGTCTCTCCAAGCAGAAACTGAGCTAGAGATTGGCACCCAAGGTATTATTAGAGCTCAACACCTGTGAAGGGGAGGGTGCTAGCAAGATTAGGTAGGAATAGGCATTAGTATCACATGGCTGATGAAGTCCTGCTCTTGTTGAGAGTGAGCGCTGGAGCCAGTATTGACTAGCAATGTGCCCAGATGCATCAAGTCTATAGGTTCCTGTCTGCCTTAGCTGTAAAATGCAAGGTGCTTTGTAAAGGGGATGGCTGGCCCCAGGGGCTTTTCAGCTGCTGGGGCAGATACTAAAGCACCTGAAGGCCACACTGCCTCCATGAAGGTGGCTCTGTGCAGGCATCTTTGTATTCTCCATCCCTAGTTAGAACTGTAACACCCCTATATTCCACATTACCCCTCAGTGCTTTATTTTCCTCATCGCGGCCAACATTTTCCAACATAGAATATGATTTATTTCACATATTCTTCATTTCCTTCAGTGGCACGTCAGCCCCTTCTCTCTTCTTCAGTCTCTGACACTGTGATAGTAACGTAGCAGGAACTCTGTGTTTTATGACACTATTCTTGGGAAAACATGAACAAGTGTTTACGAACCTCAGATAGGGAACTGAGAACAGATCGAAGTATGGATGCCGCTAAAGTCCAATTTGGTGAACCAATGAGTTTTTATTGTGGCTCCTCACAAGGGAAGATGGGTGAGGAGTTACTGACAGGGGCAGAGATGACTGAAAGGACCAGTTCTAGCACCCAAAGCTCACTGGAGCATGGGTGACAGCTCCCGAAAGCTGGAAACTCGGAGCACACTGCACAACCTGCCGGCAACTTGGAGAGTCCGCCTTAGGTAAGTTAGCTGATAGATAGGAACCTCTTCCCGGGAGCTCAGCTGCTCTCTGCGTCTTCCAGGCCCCACCTTGACTGATTTCTATTTCTTCCCGGCAGCTTGGCTGGTCTCTGCTCCTCCCAGGCAGGTGAGCATGTCTGAAAGTCTTCTAGGTAGCTTGGCTTATCTAAGAGTGCCCCTCGGCAGTCTTTACTGCTTAGGGAGGAGCCTAGAGAATCTGGTTAGTTTCAGGGACTTCCTCAAGCTATTTTGAGTTGTTTACTTTGGGAGCTCAAAGAGCTTGCCTACCTGCTACAGTGTTTCCTTCCCCCTTCCCATAGGACACCCTGTTTTATCTCCCTGTAAATATCTCGTCTTACTCAGAGTCCCTCACGGATGGACGCTTTTCACCTCAGAGGAAACTGCCACCCACACTCAGGTCCTTGGACACGATAAGTAAGTAGTCACCCGCTGAATTAGTTATTTCCCTGCTGTGACACAGACTACCGGATAAAAAGCAACTGAAGGAAGGGAAGGATTACTTGGCTTCTTGTTTGTAGCTCCCAAGCCCATGGTTTGTGTGTGCACAGCCTAGTGCTAGTGCGGTACTTCGGTTTATGGACCTTTACACTTACTATCGGTGTCCGCCAGGCAAAACCCACTAGGAATACGCATGCAGTTGAACAAGTGAGGTGGACAGAAGGTGCCTCATGGGGAGGGAGTCATTGGGCATCTGGGTAAAAGGGAGTCAGAAAAGGGCAACGGTAGGATGGATACAGGTTGGTGTTAGGAGATTTGGGAAAGGTTGAAGGAAAGAGAGCTTTCCTTTGAACAGGAAGTTGGCAGGAAGTGGGAGGGGGCACAGCATTGTTTATTCTAACATCTTACTAGATGGATCAAGACTAACTGGAGGAGAAAGCTGTAATTGGAGAAAAAGTGGTGATCACCTTCTCCCGGACAGGTGTGTTCGGCACTGTAGTTCGCACAACGTTAATGGTCATCAAGCAGAATTATGCTGTATCTCTATTTAACCAGCACATGCTATGAGCACCCAGATGATGGTATCAGGCCCAGCAGCCAGGTTAGGGCTGCTTGTGTTTTTCTCATAGCTATGGCATGTTAAACACAGAGTGGTCTTTCTGTGGTTCAGCTTTGAGACAAAAACATTCATTATCTCCAGTATTGAGTTAATCCGTGTAAAGAAACCGGGATGTGTTCATCATCCAATGCCATCCACTGCAGCTCAAACATTCTAAGATGCACCAATTTCTCACTTTTTAACATGCCTGCAAACGGGGTGTGTCTGACTTTCAAACAATGGCTTCTTAAGATAGAAGCAGTGTGGTGTTGTTTGAGGGGCAGGCGCCTATGCTCTGCTACTGCTCAGTTGAATCTGTTTCCGGGAGAATGGTTTGGCTTTTTAACCTTAGTCAAAGTCCTGGCTTTTCTGGGGTTCTCTCCCAGGTCACAGAACTACGTCTGCGCGGCTTTCCCAGGCAATACGGGAAGCTGCGGCGGCGCTCGCGAGCTTACGGCGGCCTGGCGCACACGCGGCCCGGTTGCCCCAAGCAACCGGCGAGAACCCCAGAAAAGCCAGGACTTTGACTAAGGTTAAAAAGCCAAA